TAGGAATTTCAGCAGTTGCTGAAAGTTTATTCTATGGGAGATACTGACGTTGTGGTCTAGCTGAAGGACTCAGGACTCGTCTTTTTACAGTGCTGTCTTTCCGGCTTTATACACTATGGCCGGATTCGGACTGCATCCTCAACCATTCCCGGAGTTCGGCCGTTTGGTCAATAGACTTAGGCCCATTTGGGCTCAAGTAAGCGAAGAATTCATCTTACGGTGTGTGAAGTATGGTAAAATGACGTCTACAGCTTAGGAAGTTTTCAAGTCTGCGAGCATTTTACTCCACTTACTTTGCAACGATCGGAGACGGGAGCAATAGGGGATACGTAAAACAGCTTTTCAAAGGCTTTTACAATGCTACTCGCGGAAGGAAATATGCGTTCGACGTATGTATTCGTCAGGGCACGTTAATGTTAAGATTAGGGTCGGACTAGCCACGGGGTTAGCGTTATTATTAGGGTTATATGTTCAGTTTTGCTTTGGGGTTAGGGTCACTGGCTAGTGTTTATGATTGGTTTGGGATCTGAAACGGCGCTAAGTTTGGTCTTAAGGGTTTGTATCAGGATTTCGGTTTGAGGTTAGGTTTAGGGTTTATAATTTGGTGCGGGATAATTATCTGAACTAGATTTAGGTTTAGGGTTGGATTTGATGAAATGCCAAGGATTAGGCTTAGGGCGTAAGTGCTAATTACATATAGCAGATGTTGCATTTAGGTGTTAGCGAATGGGTTATGGTTGACATTGGCGACAGGGTTTGTTGTATATTAGAAATTAGAACAGAACAACAAGCGTCCAGAAAACCGCCCTCTTCTCTTTTATCGTTGACCGCCGGCCAATAAATATGGTGAAGTTATAGTTCAAGCAAAGAAATCGGAAAGAGTCATCTCACGTGCGGCCGGAATGACACGGATGACAGTTATCAGGCCTCGATAGATAGACATGTGCGTGAGCCGAAAATCCGGTTTACGGACGGACCTTCACGCGATAATTTATACATGACCCAGGCTTCTGTGCTAGTAATAAGTGAAAGTTTAATAGAATGCTTAGGTCAGTGTCAGGTTAAGATTTGAAATAAGGTCAGGTGTTAGGGTTAGGTCTGGGATTATGTGTCAGGCTTTGCGTTATGGCTAGGCGGTATTTGGGGTCTAGCGTTGGCGCTAATGTTAACTTTTGCGTCATGGATGGGCATAGGGATTAACCTTGGTACTCCTGCTATGGACGGTGGCCAGGGTTGGGGTACGTGATAAGTGTTATGGTTATGGATAGGGAGTAGCATTTTGGGTCGGGAACGGCTCGGATTAGGCATTGGAGTCAGTTGTAAAAATTCGTCCTAACTTTATCGTTAGCTTTAGGTTTGCTATAAGGTCAGGGCTATTGTCGGTTTAATGTTCATGGTTAATGGTCAGGGTAGATTTGCTGCTGCTTGTCATGCCTAGAGCTAGTTGCCAAGTAAGGGGTTTGAAATCATGATGAGCCTTAGGTGTGAGTTTTAACGTCATGTTAAGGTCCTGATGTAGCGTTCAGGGTTAACCTTACAGGGTCGGGTCGTCATGTCAAGGTCCTGATGTAGTGTTCAGAGTTAGCCTTACAGGGCCGGTGTCTGCGCTAGGGTCAAAAGTGAGTTGAAATCAAGAATAAGATAAAGAGTAAAGCATATATTTTGCATCAGTATTTGCGTTTGATTTTGGGTAATCGTTGGTGTTAGGAGATAATTCCACCATAGGCGCTGGTTGCGGTTTTATGCTTAGCTTTTAGTTTAGGCCTAGGGCCGACTTTTGCGTTACGGTGAGATTTGTGATTAATTTATGATTAAAAGCCAACATTGGAATTAAGATTAGAATAACGCCTGGGTTTTGGGTTAGCTTTTGGAAGTGCATCGGGACTTATATTACCACGATTGTGAGGGTTGGTTTTGGGTTTTAGGGCTGGAGCTTCTGCTAGGGCTAGTTTTTAAGCGTTAACGTTTTCACTTACGGTAAACATAATGCTGAAGTTATATTGGAGTCAGTGCCATAGCTTGGCTATGGGTTTGTTTGGTGTTGGTGAGATTTTTCTTACTTTATTTTGCTGCGGCTAAGGTTGGCGTTAGGTTTCGGGACTAGTTTCATCCTTAGGACTGATATTAGGAGACATTTGCTACCAGGGGACATATCAAATTCTCAACCACCGAGTCGCACACAAGCAAGCCAGAGAAAATATTTGAAGTTTCCCTAGGTCTCTGGGCCTATAGACTATATCGACGGAACAAATGAAGTATTGGGGTAAGGGAACGGGATAGTCAGGTCATTATAACATTTTCAATGACTTTAAGATATACATCTGCTATGCCTTTGAAGGCAGCGTAATTATATTAGTTTTATCAGCTGTAAATAAATTCTGAATTTCGTCGTCCACCCTCGAGCTGAAGCACAGCATCCACTTAGACCCATGGGATGCGGATTTGGCTAGTCAAGAATTCTTTCGAGTGTAAGAAAGCACGCACGATAGATCCTAATATCAATTAGCGTTGAACGCAGCCAGCTTTAGTTGGTACGTGGCAACATGTCGGCCCTTTACCGAATTTCGATTCAGTTCCCTGTATATATCCTAACCAGGAAAAATCGTTCCATAAGTAGGGCGGGTTGTTCCAGCAATGTTTATATCGTGCGTCATAGTAAGGGTGCCCCGAAACTTATGTTATTACTTCTTTTTGGACAGTTTACGTCCTTTTAAACTCCTTAATTGAAGCATGAACATATTTTGTTCTAAAGTAGATAGGTTATTCCGGAGCTTTTATTTTGAAATACAATCAGTGCTACCATTTGTTCATAAAAGCATCAACGCATATGTTAGGCAATATCTCCAAAACAAATCAACTGTCACCGCAGGCCTCACGAAGTGGTGGCCTGTTACGTATCAAATATTACGATAGAAGCAGGAGTAAGCCTGCTGGTCCGCCTCCCCGCCCTAAAGGTGCGGCCAGATTGGGGTGGACGGGGCCGTAGCCCAGTCTCAGGGAGTCCTCGTCCTTTATTTTCAGCCCAGCTAACTGATAGCAACACAGATGGCCCGGACACGTTTGTCGCCCAGCTCATTCTGCAGAAACAATTATACAAGCGGCGGAGCCGACACTTCTCCTGTGTGCAATCCCGTGTGCAGAGGTCAGTTCGTGAGCGGCACGCGTAGAAGTGATAATTAGTTTCCCCAGCCACCGCGGCTGAACCGCATAGTGCCGCTCTGACTTTGTCTTGCCACCGGACCCTGGGGGGAATGCTGGGAGAACATAATACAACAGACACTGAAAAAGTCGCATTCCACTATAAATTTCCGCATAAGTCGCCGTTCTGCGTCCAATATATCCTGAGGTAAACGGTGAAAATCATCGTAAACGACGGTCGAACTTTCATACTGTCGGCTGTTAATCCCATTGGCAATGAACCCTGCTACCGACAACGTCGGGGAAAGTGAGGCCTATTCCACTGCAGTGACTGTGGGACATCTAGACTGGCTTTGTGTTCCTACTACGACGAATATGGCAAAAGTCCGTCGGTATTCTGCCGATGAACAGCCAAATCGGCCGAATTTTGGCAGTGAGATACCCAGTCCTTGGTTGGTGTTCTTATATAAGCCGACCTTGTCGTTGCCACGGCCGACAGACAATCGTTCTTCTCTTACTTCCTACCCTTGTTCCAGTTTGCGGGTATGATACCTTAACTAGTGAGGCCTGCAGTTTCTGGTTACGCCTTATTTTATCGTCTTCGTCGATTTCTCTGCCATTGGATCGTACGAAAGTGTTCGCGCAGGCACCCTTAATTGGTAGCCTACAGTAGGTGGGCTAACTCACGAAATATCGACCAAAATTCGGAAATGCTGTTTCGTTTCGAAGATGTTAATTAGGTAGGGTTGTAAAACTAATCATTGTGCAGCATAATTCTATAATAATCCAGTTACCTCGGAGTGCCGACTTTCGAATGAACTTCTTTCTGGCTGCATGCAAAAACTACACTCAGTAGAAAATGGCTACATAAGTAGCATGAATGTTTCTCATTGTTCTTTGATGCCTCTAAAAGTCCAATTAAGTTTCATGGAAAACATGTATAAAATATTCATTCTTTTGCTCATTCGGTAGAAAAAAACGTCTTCTTCAAATTTTGTACTCGAAGGATGGTATAATTTGGTTATCAAAATCTTTTTCAACTCCCGAATAATTTCGAACCCGACCTGCCGTTATATTTGCATTCAGGGCTTCAACACTACAAGCCGTATATTTTCCGTGTACGGAAAACTACACATTTCTCTACGGGAATAAAGAGGTATCATATAGGATTCATAAAATTAAGCAGTGGCTTTGATCCACATTGTTAACTATACAAGCCACTAGAAACGAAGAGACGAGCCCCAGTTAGTAGTCTTGAGGAAGGAGACACGATCGCCGGGACAAGAGCTTTATTAGCCTGACGTTTCGGATTCCTACTCGAATCCATCATCAGAGACAAAAGAGCAGAAACGGGTGGCTGTTGCACAAGGGGCTGCGGTATTTATAGGATGCAGTAGCCATGCTACCGCATACCTATGAACATTCACGATTCCCCCCTTCATCCGGGATCGTCGCACGTGGTGTGATCACTGCTCGATGGCCGACATTCGAGTCGATAATTGCTGCAAATTCATCACGTGCATTAGATGTTGGCGTGATGATTGCTCGACCATCTGACGCACCGACCCTGGTGTTGGGAAAAGTGTTCACCTCTGCCCTCCCCGCATGGCTTGTTACTCCGCCTAGGCGAAATTTTAACACGCAGTATGGAGTGGGAAGATCGTTGCTTATGTTGATGGGCTGGGGAAAGTAAACCATGATTCCAGTAGCTCCCGGCTCACTCGGTTGTCACCTCTTGCGAGAATTTCCGCCTCATCGAATTTGAATGTATGGCCGGATCTCGACGAATGGGCCGCAACTTGGGAGCTGGAGTCATTTCTCCGTACTGGTGCAGCGTGTCCGGCCATTCTCGTTCAGAGCTGTCATCCGGTTTCTCCGACGTAGTTGCTTTGTCCGCAACTGCACCAGATCCGATAAACGACTCCAGACGTTTCTAGCCGTGGCAGTGGGTCTTTCGGTTTCATGACCAGACGCCTGATTGTTGCCTCCGGTCTGTGTGCCACTCCAACCCCAAGTTGTGCGAGAAGGCGGCCGACAGCTTCCGAAACGTTCTTGACATGCGGAAGGGCCCGCCAAGATTTGGTGTCCGTGCGGTTGAGCCTCTCGTCCCTTTTGCGTATGCACCGGTCGACGAAGTTGCGCGGATAGCCATTGGCTTTGAAGACCCGTCGGAGGTATTGTAGTTCAGCAATTTTGTCTCCCGGCTCACTGTAGTGCGTTTCGACACGCCGATAGAGCGTCCTTACACAATTGCGTTTGTGGCCGACTGGGTGGTTACTGTTGAAGTTCAGTACTTGCATCGTATTTGTCGCTTTCCTGAACACTTCGGTTTTTAGTTCACTACAATCTTTGCGGCATACGAGGACATCCAGGAAGGCCAGCTGGTTGTTCTCTTCCTCCTCCATCATAAATTGAATGTCCGGGAAGACGGCGTTGAGATGTTCTTGGAATGTCAACACCTGATCCCGTTCGATAACGACGAAGGTGGCATCCACATACCGGACCCAGAATTTCGGTCTGTGGTGTTGGAAGACGAGCGATTCTAACCGTTGCAGGACCGCCCCGGCGATGAATCCCGAAATCTGCGAACCCATTGGTGTGCCCTTCACCTGTTCGTAGATTGTCCCGTTGAACGTGAAATACGTCCTCAGACAGAGCTTCAGGAGCTGAAGGATTTGGGCGTGTCTAAGACGGTTCTCCGTTTCATCATATTTTCTTTGTAGTAGCAGCTCAATTGCCTTGATCGCCAGGTCCTGGGGAATAGAAGTAAAGAGGGATGTAACATCAAAAGATACCATGACCTCATTTGGATGGATGCTTACCCCTTTGAGTTTCTCCAGGAATTGTGCTGACGAAGAGACCGTGGTGTCTGACTCAACGGTCAGGAACTTGAGACGCCCGAACAGCCACTTAGCCAGTCCTCACCAGAAATGTTAATTATTCCAATTTTCCAGTTCATGCATCGTGCCCTCACAGAATGCGCACCATCGATGCTCTTGGTGAAGCCTTCTGTATTCGCCATATACTAGTAGTCTGGTCGCATCGCCCTTACCCCATCTTCGGTTGGACTCGGATGAATGTAACCGACCGCATTTGGGTTCCTATCTCCTCGAGACTGATCTTCATGATGACCTCACATAATGCGCTCCATCGACGCTCTTGACGAAGCCTTCTATATTCGCCATATACTAGTAATCTGGTCTCATCTCCTTTGCCCTATCCTCGGATGGACTTTGATGAATGAAACCGACCGCAGCTGGGTTCCTATCGCCTCGAGACTGGTTTTCAATTTCGCCCCTTATTTTTCTTATTCAAGGCGATGCAGACCAGTCCTGACCGACCCGCCTACGTACCATTTTATGAAATCCGTTACATAATGCCATATACAGCTGACATTTATTTCGGCCATGTTGATGTCTGACTATATTCCATTCTGTACCGCCACATGCAGGCCATTCCTCCCTGCATTTTTCTTATGCTATTTTTTAAGGTTTTTTTCTCCTGTTAAATTGCTACAATCATTTTTAAATTTTGCTTTGGAGTTTTTTCACCCCTTGTTTTTTATTTTGCTTAACGGACTTCTAATCTCAAAAACTATGTATTGCACTTTGTACAGATTTTGCCTACCTCGTCTAAAATTCGCATGTAAATTTATTGTTACTTGCTTTGATGGGACCCCGACGGGTCTTTAATAAAAATAATTGAATTAAATTGAATTGAATAGTAGCAGCTCAATTGTCTCGATCGCCAGGTCCTGGAGAATAGAAGTAAAGAGGGATGTAACATCAAAAGATACAATGACCTCATTTGGATGGATGCTTACCCCTTTGAGTTTCTCCAGGAATTGTGCTGACGAAGAGACCGTGGTGTCTGACTCAACGGTCAGGAACTTGAGACGCCCGAACAGCCACTTAACCAGTCCGTACTTTGGAGTCCCTTTGAGCGACACGATGGGTCGGAGAGGAGCGCCGTCTTTGTGCACCTTAGGGAGGCCATAGAATCGGGCCAAAGCCATATCTTGGGGTCACGCCATGCGTCTGTCGGTCGGCGTTATTGCACCTGAGTTCTCCAAATACCGCAGCCCCTTGTGCAGCAACCACCCGTTTCTGCTTTTTTGTCTCTGATGATGGCTAATAAAGCTCTTGTCCCGGCGATCGTGTCTCCTTCCTCAAGTATACAAGCCACATTGGTAAATACAGAGATATGACGATTTATGAACGGCCATTTCACGGTATTTAAGAGTCCCAGAATTAGAAACTCTTTTTAAACCGAATTATATCCATCCTTCGAGTATCAAATTTGAAGAAGACGTTATTTTCTACTGAATGAGCAGAAGAATAAATATTTTATGCATGTTTTCCATGAAATATAGTTGGACTTTTAGAGGCATCGAAAATCAATAAGAAAAATTTATGCTACATTATTAGTCATTTTTTACAGAGTGTAATCCATGCATGCAGTCGAAAAGAAGTCCATTCGAAAGCCTACACCCTGAGGTAACTGGATTATTATAGAATTATGCTGCGCAATGTTTCGTTTTTCAACCCTACCTAATTAACCTCTTCGAAACGGAAACGCATTTCGGAATTTTGGTTGACATTTCATGTACGTGTGTCAGGAAGGGTGACCCGGGCCTCTTACAGCTCATGTATTTTATGCTTACTCCTCACTCGACTCCAGTGCTATGTTATGGCGTCTTTGTGTCTTTCATTACGCGGCTACGATTCAATTACCGGCTCTTAGCGACAACCAGCTACTGTCTTTCATATACCTAGATAAGGCCCGCTTCTGACATGCGTCGTACGTTCTGCCTATCCACTTCCACCCTTCATTGTACTTCCGTCTACTGAAAAGCGTCTCGGCAATTTGCATTTCCACACCGTCGCATGGTAGGTGTGACTCGGTCTCCAGCTTGCAACGCCGTAACGTCGGTCGACACTTACACAGCCACTGATTGGTCACAGACAGACGAGGCACGGGCGCATGCATTTCGGCCTGTACCTGACTGATGAGGGGGCCTGCTGCGACTGCTTACGATGTTGCTGCGGCCTCAATGAAAGATCGCCCACACAATTGTCTTTCCTGCCTTCTGATGTGAAAACCTTCCGCTGCGGATCATGGCACATTGACAAGATCAGACGATGCAGCGAAGGACCAATCATATGATGGCCGAAATAAGGTTTGATGCAATACCTGGCGCACATTGCAAGACCCACATTTCTCATATGAATGCCAAATATGCATTCTCCATTTTGTCTATTGGCGGTTTCCTGCCCTGAAATAGGTCCCTCCCCATATGGAGTGCTTACCTTTGTTTGTAATGCGTGCGTTTGAACACAAACCCTTCACCGCCTGCACGCCATCCCTATTGGATGGTTGTATATCGACAATTCTACCGTAACTGCCGACGATATCCACCGTGTGCTCCACAGCTAGGTGAGAGAAGGCACGGTGACTTGTTCGGGAATTAGTTTATAGTAGCAGTGGACTTGCACAGCCTCTACGGCACTCTCCCCTCCTCCCCCACTTGGATCCGGTGTCAAGACAGGGTCAAGAAGACCGCAGGCGAGGGAGAGGGAGTACAGCCGAGTCCGCACAGGGGCGCTCCGCCCCACACTCCCTGGTCCACACAACAAATGACCAGGATTTTAACCAACAAAAACGTTGCAAGGGGGGCGACAGGGGTCCCAATGTGCGTGACCTCTGCTGCAAATGAGCTTGTCACCGCGCCCGGAAGTGGGTAGGGGGGGGGGCTGTATGCCACAATTCGTAACTTATCGTTTCCTGTAGCAGATTTTACTCTTGACATTAATCCGTTAATCCGCACATTTAATCGATACGAACCAACGAGTCGATGCCAAGAAAGCATTTCAGGTTGTCTACCTGACACCAACATGCTTCTTTAAAGGCCTAGGCCAACGGATACTAGCAACGGCCGAGGCAGTAGCTATACGACTAGCGAATACGGTGTTATGGTGTCAGAAAACTCTGACACAAGTGCATTCTCTGCCGTGGCCAACGCCAACCCCAAGTGATGAAGCCATGCCGCCTCAAATCCCTAATCACGATGATGGGAACTCCGTGTACTCAACCCAAGAACATCACTCAAAGACTCTCTTACTTCCCCTCCCCTAGCTCTGACGACTAACACCCGCCGACCTTGTCATGCGGGCGACATGGGGATGATGAGTGTTAGTGCCTTAATAGCTCTTGAGACATATATAAACACTGTTGATTTTGTACATTTTCATTCCTTCATGTAATTGTATTGGCCTGACGAAGAATTACCGAAAACGCGTGTTCGCGAACTTGAATTTTCAAGTGTAACATGGGAATATTTGCGGAACTTAGATAATTGAGAAGAGTTGAGGTGTACTGTTGTTCGCAGCCTGGATACGGCGTCCGGCTCTCTACGGCAAAGATAAGCAAACCCCTCAGGACCGCATTAATACCGTTAGCGAGATGTAAAGAAAAGTACCTAATGTTCCTTTCACAATTTTGCTTCCACTGAAATAACCTGTGTATCGTTACTTAGTCATTTATGAACGAAATTACATTCTTTATATACCTCTTTATGCCAAATGCAATAATTAGTTGTGGTTTACCTCGCATTGATAACAGTCATCCTGCTACTGTGGTCCCCCTACTTTGTCCTGACGGTCTGTTTATTTAGCGCGATAATGTTGACTGTCTCCGCGTCTGCCCATTGGTTATCATTTCTAGTATCAGTTACCTGTACTTTTTGAGCCAATCAGCGGTTGCATGCGTTCCTTTCTCTAAACTCTTAAGGTACGAGGGTTTGTTTGGCATTTCTTTAATTCACTGAAACAAGCATTTGGCGCAGACACAAATTTTACTGTTAATGCAGTGCAGAGCTCAACGTGTCCACCTTGAATGGCTCCAAACTTAGAAACCCCCTTTTATCCCCATCCCTTCTTTAAAGCTAGTCTTGCGCTAGATTTTCATGTCCAGCCGAATACCCGAATTAAAATTCTGTCGAAAACCGAGAGAGGGGGAAAGAGAAAACCTTTATGGGGAACAGACAAACGTTTCCGAAAAGAGGTCTCTAAACAACGTTACCCTGCACAGTTGAAAGCTGCAGGCTACATCATTGTTAGACTAGGCAGTTATCGCAAGGAGGGCATTTTCCTCAAGAACTTGGGGACGTATTCAGTAGACAGCACCATTGATCAGCAAGAAAAAACGAAAGAAAAAAGGTAAATTTTGGCCAAACAAGTATTTGCTTTCTGCAACGAAGCAGAAAGGAAAGACACCCGCAGACAGCTGAGGTTAAAAATCCCGGCGAAAGGCACTCAACGTCGACTTCTTTGTAGATAATGCACCAGATAGTCTAAAACAGACGACCTAAGCTTGTACGATGAGATACCAAACCGAAATAATCGTGTCGGACTAAAAACCTACTTAAATAAGTATAGTAGGTATTCTTTGTATGTCGTAGATGCTTGTGGACCTTCACTCGACCAGTACCCTTTCGCGAGTCAGCGAACAATGCACACTCCATGAGAAATTTGAGCCAGCATTCTTGTCTCCGGCACACACACACACACATACACAACAGCGTCCCAACAGAGCACGCGGGGAGGACTTTTATTCCTTCGCCTAAAGTTTTTGTTTGCGCGTCGTCCTGACTACCCTCATTTAGCCACCCAGCTCTCAGCGGAAGGTTTGTTTACCACAAGTTTATTGAGATTTTTTTCAAATTAGTTTGTGCGACAGACAAATATGACATAACCTGTAATTTTATCATTAAAACGGACTTTCAGAGTAATTCAGGCCACAATGAACCCGCCTTGTAAGTCAGATATGAGGGAATATTGGGTAATTCGCACGGCTGGGGACACACTGAACATAGCACAACGGTTGGGCCGAAATCGGGAGATAGGCTGCTCAGCGCCACATGACAGCAGATAATTTCTGTTGTGCAAACACCCTTACTCCCCTAGACTGCCCCGTTAGAAAGATACTTCTAGATATGCGGAGGGGTAGGGTCACGGGATGGAGTACAGTAGCCATTGAAACTTGCAAAACGCCAACGGAAATGCCTTGATATGCGGTCAGATAACAGTACTGCTCAATCTTGCAATTAAGCCGTACACTTTAGTATGATGGCTTGTCCATGACAGTCGTCTCAGTTGCCTGTGAAGATATCGTTTAAAAAAATACGACTCAGCACTTATAGATTTTTTGGTAGGATTGACGTATGTGGACGTTTAAACAGGACAATGGAACAGGAACCGCCTGAAACACGGGTGGCTTTGAGCCAGTTAAGGACCAGGTCTAAGGTTCAATTTAAAGTTAACGCAAGGTAACTCAGAACCAAGTTTAGGTCTAGGCCAAAGTCAATCCTTCGTTTGTCTTGTCTTGTCTTGTTTCTTTTTTCCAGGAAGAAAACTCCACCTAAAATAAATACCGAAAAGCGCTGAAAAAGTGTACTAGTTAATCGACACAACCTTTCTTGATACGGGTAAACACAGATGCCTAGAAAGATTCTCTGTCGAAAGCCAGAATGCAATGTTGTGTACACGAATTTGACAGTGGACTCTCCACTAAGCTGCAGTGTAATCTTGTAATAGTTTATAATATGAGACACATAGCCCAAATGTATTGTCAAAATTTTATCCAGTTTCTGTGCATACTTTGGCAGCTATGTCAGCTTTTTCAGCTCCCGTTTTCACTCCTAAACTTCCAGGCCAGAGGAATGTCGCTAAGCACTCGAAAGCTATTGGAGCACTCCACGGAACTCTGTGACTTTATTTGTCAAAAACAGGCCTGTCAAATTGAGGTAGGTGTGCAGCCATCAGTTGATAATTTCAAACCCCCCATTCCGCCTCCTTCTCCAGCGACAGACGTCAGAGGCGTTCCGAGAGCTGGACGAAAAAGTAGAAAGGTTCCTGGCACAGGACGCCCACTTTCACCAAATTTGCGCCAAACTCAAGCGCGAAAGTGACAATCAGCGGGAATGTAGACGTGCAAGCCTCTACAAGGACTGGGAGA